TTCTGAATATGGAGATCTTCCTTTTACATTAAGCAGGAGGGGCCAATCAGGCTCTTATAGTATGTCCCACATCTACTGAGCTGAAACTCCGAACAAAGGAAGATGATGAAACTGTGTTTGCAGGACCGCGGTGGTCGATTTTAAAATGTGAGAAAAACATCGGCTGTTTTCTGCTTTGCAGCTGGAGCTTGTAGCGTAGCTGAAACAGACCTTTCTGTCCCCACAGAGGCCGATTTGCTTCATCTCAATCGCCAACACAGAACTCAACTAGCGTGCCCACAAATATTCAACGTTACCATCGCTTATTCTGCCAAACATACACTGGATGCAGACATAATACAACACATGGCTTTTGTTGTTTCCTTAGAGAACTACAACGTACAACAGGAACAATCTGGGTTCAACGTGATCAATAACTACTGTTAATACTTTCACAGGTTTTTTTACTTTTTACCTCATTTAAGAATATCTCCACCTTATCTTTTGGCCTAAGATGTAACCGAGTTAAATAACTAAAGGCTTTATCTCTTTTTATCCTGAGACAATTTTCTGAATAGCCTCTAACCGAGCTTTGGGACGCCCCTGCCTTTCTCACACTGAAGTAGGAATTTCAATCAGAATCAGAGCTGCTGCAATCAGATAGGACGGCTTAAAGAGGAGCAACTCTGCTTGTTTCTCACTTCATATTTTTATTCTTGGATTCTATCAAAGCGACTCTGCATCCTTAAAAATCCTTATTCCTTAACAAAGACTTGGTGCAGCGGTTTTAGATCCTCTTCTTTGAAGACCAACTAATGTAGAGTGAAGCCAGAGCTGCTGCATGTCCACATCTTACTACTTCAAATTCTGTCTCGGTTTGATACGAGCGTCTACCATCATTACAGGAGATGTATTAAAGCATGTTTTGTGTTTTTAGTAGAATGTGACCTATTTAATCTGCTGACCTTTTTCATTTTGTCCGTTTTCTGTGATAAACACCGTAAAAGACTTCAGGTCAAACATTTTCTAAGTAGCTTTGGCACACAGGAGGAATTTCTTAACCCTGTTTCTTGTCTGTGCAGAGGAAGGAAATGCACGACCTACATAACCATCAACAATCAAAATAGATCTATGTGGAATTTTACTTACATAAAGGTCACTTTGCTCCTGTTGAAACAACATTATTCTCTATCACCACCTTTAAACATCATCTCATCCCTTTGCTTTCGTTTACCCAGCAGAGTCCAGTTATATTTGTGGAGTTTCCTCCGTTCCTGACTCAAAGCAGGTGGAGTCTGCATCGGTGTGGACTCTGAGTTGGCTTCATCACTCACCTCCAGTTAAAGCTAGTAGGTTTGGAGCGGTACTTGATGTGGGTGTAGGGTTGGACCCGGGCCGATGTACACGAGCTGCAGCATTTCTTGCTCGACTTGTTACGTGCACCACATTCGTGTCACTGCTGTGTTTGTTTGGCGTGGACACATTTAGCAGCTTCGGGGACGGTTGGAGTCACATCCTGCTGTAAGATCTACCTCTTGTTCACATTTGCTCGTCCTTCCTCTCCCTCGGGTTCAATCTGTGCAGACCTACACTGCTCCCTGTTTGAATGAAAGCACTTCTCCAGTCAAACTGGGCTGGATTTGAGGCTGGCTTTGGCCCAGACAAGTCCCCACACGGCCCATAAGTGGAAGCCACACGAGGACGAGCCAGCCAAGCCTGGGCTCTGACGGAGTGCCTCAGAGCCAGGCTTATCCTCACCACTGGAAAGCATCCATCCTGATTCCAAATTCCTTCCTAAATTGTTTTTATTGCTTTCTGCCTGGAGGGGAATGTGACGGTAGGCATAATGAGGTCTAATGGGAGAAGGAGGGATAAGGACGGCTGCCTGTGCCCTTCATACCTCTCCTCCTCTCCTTTGAATGCCTCGTCTTCCTCAACTACTGAATTTACCTGCAAAAGATCTCCATGTTCCAGTCGGTCCTGCTGTTTGCTTTTAATGTCTTCTTTCCAATCAGTCTTTGTATGCGTGCCTGTTTCCCTTTGAAGTGTTATTCAGTCTTTAAGGTTTGTTTTGTCCTCTAATTGGTCACAGTTATTAAAGATATATTACTGTGACTCAGAGGGTGGCTGCACTCTTTTGACTCCTGCATGGTGGGGACACTGAAAGGTGGCTCAGGATCAGCCGTGCTGTTTATTAGACTGAATTAAAAACTCTCTACTGCCACACTTTCTCTAATATTATCTGATATTTCCTTCTATCCCCCTTCCTTTGTTTCCTTCCTGAGTACAAAGCAGTCAAACATACAGAATACGAAGAAAAATAAGAGAAACGGCACATGAAAGCAGACGTTTACTTTGAAGCAACTCAATTATAATTACAAAGACATCTAAGAAGGTCAACTTTATTCAGCTGAATGCAAATTAGCAGTCTGTCAGCTCCGACGGTCGCCGTCTTTAATGGACTATTTCAAAGCAAATTTAGGTGGATTTCCTGCGACCGCCGAAGACAAAAATACCAAACGAGAAGCGAAACCACAGACAAAAGTCAACAGGCGCAGAAAGGCTTTGTTATGCAAATATTCTGTGATTTTTCTCCAAAGTCAAAAAGTTAAATTGTGAGATTTAACTGAATGATCCTGAGCTGCTGATTACATTCAGTCCAAAGTTTCTTCTGCTCAAACCTGCAGGTATTTGAAGTTTTTCTATTCATGTTCACGCTAACAAAAGACTGTTCATCACACCAGAAACCTGAATGCTGGCTTATTGGTTATATCAAACCATAATGACAATATGAAAAGTGCACATCCAGAATTCTGCTTCTATAAAGTATACGATGTGCAGTCATACAGGACGGTTACTCTGTCTGATTAAAAATGCCTGAGTTAAAGTTAAAGTTGGTTGATCTCTGAAAAAGAAGGAAAAGAAGAAGGGAAGGAAGGGAAAATCTTGTCTATCCTAACCCATTGTATTTTTGTATTACTGTGAGAACTATGCTCATTTCTACATTTGAATGTGATGTAGGCAGGTTTGATGTATGGATGGATGTGTGAATGTGAGGGTGTTCAACATTTGTTTGTATTGTACTGTAAAAAATTTCAATAAAAATATATGGAAAAAAAAGTTGGTTGAACCTCCTTCAGGGTCACCTCCTGCACCACAGGACCACTTCCTGCACCACAGGACCACTTCCTGCACCACAGGACCACTTCCTGTCTGGGTGGACGTCTTGTTCTGACTGCTCGCACTTAGACTTCGAACTTCGACAAAGAGCAAATATCAACTCTTCCATCACTGCTGCCTCTCACGTTGAAATACTCTGCTGATGAGAGCTGGGTCTATACGTCAGTGACCAGAGAGCAGCCTTCATTGGATGATGCCAAAGTGTCCAAGCCTGAGAGCGGCGCATCAGGAGCAGCGGAGTCGTTTGGTTTTTTTCCATCATCAGTCTCAACATCAAGAATTCAGCTCATGTTTTTCTGATAAACAATGCTGAGTTGTAACATATTAAAAACCACATTTTTCAGCCACACTAACAGTCTTTGCTTACCTCTCAGATTGATCACAGCCTGATTAAAGTCTCTTTGTAACATTTTGACGTCTCGTTTTTTGAAATATGGACTAATTGATGAGGCCAACTGGACTTCATCAATTAATAAACAAGGCAGCAGTTCAGGAGGTTTGAACACTATATTTGAATGGCTTTTAAAATGACATAAAGTAGATATTTTACTTGGATCAGAGTTTAAAGTAGGCCTGTGAGGAATGTTGTGTGATGGAAACAAATCTGAGGAAACATTGTTTTGGATCAGAGCTGGCGCCCAGCAGGGAGCAGCCTGCTCTGCATCACGCAGCTCATTCTTTGCCTCACATTTACTCTCATTGCACACGAGCACACTCCTCACCTCCTTCTCGTCTGAAGCGTCCTCTTCGGTCAGCGGGGCGTACAGAATCATGTACCCAGAAGCCCCGGCGACGGCCTTCCAGCGGACCCGCATCGTGCTGTGAGTGATATCAAACAACTGCAGGTTGTTCACCGTGGGCAGGGCCACTGTCGGACACAAGCACAGGGTTTGGATGACGACGAACAATAAGGAAGTGTAGCTGATTAAATCTTACCTAAAACAGTAATCTGGCACTTTTACACTAACCTTCGACTGTTTTGGGCCAGACAAGTCCTGAAAATTCACATTTCATAGAAAACTCGCCCTTTTCTAAATTCTAAGGAATTCGTTATCCATGGCTCTCCGGCAGCAATAGAAGTAAATGAGGTCTTGTAAGTTCATGCATGATTAAACAGAAATCCAAATCTTCTTTGATGTATTTTAAACAGTAACGCACAATGTCAGGGTTGTTAAAAACAGCAGTTATTCAGGGGTCATTGTGCAGCACGGCAATGAGCCAAACAAGGTTTAACTAGAAAAGAGACTAATGAGATTTACAGCCAGGGCATCAAGATGTAGTTTTGCCTCTGCAAACCAGCACAGTTGATGTGTGATTGAAACGGAGGTCTGGTTTCATGAAATCGAATACATTTCAGAGAGCCGGACAGCACGAGTAAAGTCCTCACTTATTGCTTTGATAAATGTTCCACTTTTGTACCACACTCTGCTCAAACCCCCAAATCAATTAGTACCTAGCATCATGTTTAATTTGCTGCCTTAACCAGACGGTGCAGCAGGGCCGAAGTGGCAGCTTCCAGCAAACAGCCACAGCACATTAACTTTGCTACAAGGTCAACTCGTGACTTTGCATTCATCCTCGACCAACAGGGAGGAATCCCCTGTCATTCGTCAGCGAACGCCAGGTCGAGAAGGTCAGAGAATCCAGCCAGGCTCTGGCTCGGGATACGCATGTCAGCACAAGGCCTCAGGCAATACCACCAGAATTAGAGCTCGCCACAGGCGTCCTGTCAGAGGAGGACCGAGCCACGAATAAATAATGAAACACCTGTGTAGCTTTTATGGCCCAAATTCACTGTTTTCCTTTGTAGTACAACACATATCTGCTGCTCCATCAGCGCTATTACAGATGCTGCAACTCAACAGTCATAAACTGGCTTCATTGGAATTGAGTGAAAAGACCAAAGATGTGTTGTTCACCTCGGTCCGTTTCTTCAAAGCAATAAATAAATGATTAAAAGCTCTGCAGGTTAACACTGAGGCGTTCTCAAAGTGTGAGCAAGAACACGTTTCTCCTGCACAGGAGCAGAAATGGTTTGATGCAGAGAATTAACAGCACAATGAAAGATCCCAGGGGAAGACTGTCTTGGAGGTGACCTCGACTTCAACGGTTGCCATTTAAGACTGAGAGCGATAGTGAATAATGGAAGAGGTGCATGCTGGGAAAAATGAAGAGTTCAGATCCCTCATTCGGGACTTAATTCTTAAACGAGGCTCAAATGGACATTTCATTTGCCTCTGCAACATTTAGAGGTAACTCTTCATCGTGTGGTTTAAACTAACCCAAAGGTGTAGTCGGTGAAGTAGTAGTAGGTGAGACTCAATCCAAAAGTGAATCAATCGCTACCAACCAAGTTACAACAGAAACATGAAAAATTCATTCATTCATTAAAAATGTATTAATGAATTCATCTCGTCCCTGACCTGTGTTTGTGCTGGCGATGCCTTTTGGAGCACTTTGAACAATTTGAAGGAGTCACGGTGACCAACCATTCACCTGAATGTGAAACACCCTCAACCACTGGCTCAGGCCTCTTAGTGGGAGGGAACCCGTCTGACTCAAAGGAACTGCAGCTGCTCTCAGACTCATTCACCGGTTTTTGCAGGTAATCACATCTCGATCACAGATGCAAATAAACTGCTAACACATTAGAGTCAGTCTCAGTCTGTAACGATGAGCACAACTTCGCCACAAGATGTCAGGTTGCAACTCAAGACTGGACTCAGCTGATTGCCGACTGGCTGCATTCTGCTTACATCTCTTCATAAAAGCACCTAGTCCCTGCATCACTTTACAATGAAACTGCTAAACTGTGTAACTGTTTGTAGACAAAATTCTGAATCCATCCATCCATTCGCTTCCGCTTATCCTTTTCAGGGTCGCGGGGGGCGCTGGAGCCTATCCCAGCTGTCATAGGGCGAGAGGCGGGGTACACCCTGGACAGGTCGCCAGTCTGTCGCAGGGCCAACACACAGGGACAGACAACCATTCACACTCACATTCACACCTAGTGGCAATTTGGATTAATCAATTACAAGCTGCATGTCGTTGGACGGTGGGAGGAAGCCGGAGTACCCGGAGGGAACCCACGCAAACATGGGGAGAACATGCAAACTCCACACAGAAAGACCTGGTGGTGGAATTGAACTTAGGACCTTGTTGCTGTGCGGCAACAGTGCTAAGCACTGTGCCACCGTGCTGCCCACTTTGTATAAAGAGTTATTGTGGCTTTCTGTGTATGTAGGTAGTAACAGGTTTGTAATTTCACAAACATACTGCATTCATTTCCACTCAATACTGAACTAATGCATGAACAAACTGATGACTGGTCGCAGACCTGGTCCCTGTTTTTGGAGAAACCAACTCAAAGGCAACAGGACTGCAGGGTGACTGCACAGGGTTTGCTAGCATTAGCAGAGAAGTCACTGTTAGCTTCAACGTGTCTCAATGAAGATGCCAATATTGTTGCAATTGACAGACCATCAGATGCTGCATGGTGTTTGTCTCCTGCTTCCATCTGTTTGAATGCGTAAACATATAAACTTACATGTAGTAGCACTTCCTCTCAGGGCTTCACTTGCGGCGCTGCGATAGACGGCAAAAACAGCCACCTGGTACTCTGTCAGAGAGTTCAGATAGCTCAGCTCCACGCTGTTCTGTGTCCCCTGGACCACCTGAAAACAGATCCCAGTGGGTCACAGCCTGGATATCACAACAGTGTTATCAAGTGCAGTAAGTGTTCAACGCTGGAAGGAGATAAGCCAGTCAGTCAGACACACTAAACAAGTACGCTCGCTTGTGATGTTCATTCATTTCTGCTCTCAGGGACAGAACTGTCTGACACAGCTGGGATTAAAATAATCTTAATTTGCTCTAAATTAGAGCTCTTCATGTCTTTGTAATAGACAGCAGAACTTTGTTTGTCAAAAAGCTTTAAAATACAGAAAAAATCTTCTGTTTATTAAGCGACTGCATATCACAAGGTTGAAAAAAGCACCACATGTTGCTGCAGGCATTCAGCTCCCTCCAAAGAGATTTAAATTGAGTGTAACTAGATCAGATTAGCTTTGATGAAACCTCAGTTTTCCTTGTGGGGAAACTGGGCCGTTCCAGCTGCAAGTTGTAATAAACATCAAAGAGAAATGGGATAAAAATAAGAAGGAACTGCAGGAGCATAAATATAAACTTGGAAAATTACAGCACTGCATGTGTGCGTGGTGATACAGGTATGGAAACAAAGTTTTCAGCACATGGGAAAACACCTACGTCACAGAATAAGTCAGTGGACGTCTGTAGTTAAGGACACTGATTAAAAAGACACATCAGTTTTGCACATCCTCCACAGCTAATGGCTGATAATGTAACAGAATATAGTTTACCACAGCCTACGAGAGTGCTCGCTTCTATTATTCCCTCACTGCAAATCCTGCATAATTGTTGGCATTTATCATGCAGATCACTCTGAGAAATTACTTAACTTCTGGAAGTGACCCTTAAAAGGATTAGCCGAGCAGCTTTAATTAAAATGCTGCCACTACATCACAGACAGTTTGTATTTTATTTGCTCTGTGGAGGCGAATCAGGACCAAAGTTCCACTAATTAAGGGGACAAAAGAAAAGCGCTCCCTTCAGTCTGTTATAAGAAGCCGGATGAGCCGCCGAACAATCAGACAGTAGTTTAGACTTTATTGCACAATTACAATAAAAGCAGGATGTTCACTGTGGTGGAAAAACTATGATGGAAGCTGAAAATTAAAAGTGAAAAATAAAGAGACTATTTGTAGTTTGAAAATTGCAGGATTTGCATTAATCGCCAAGAAAAAGTGTTTTTCTTTCAGGCATGAAAATAATTAAAATAATAAAGGACCAACAATAAAACAAGTAAAACACCTTTTCCTCTGGCTGCCCCCCACTGGCAGGGTAGTACACCACTCGGTATTTCTCCACCTGACCCGACGCGTGTGTCCATGTCACCCGGAAACTACGAGCAGTTATCGCCGAGGTCACGAGGTCACGAGGTGCAGCCACGGCGGCGGCTGGCGGGGCAGGCTCCGCCCCCCCTGCAAATAATAAAGAAAGCAGAGATTTTTCAGAGCAGCCTGCGAGAGCTGAAGTAATCCTGCTGTGTGTGCAAAGTGACTCTGAAAGCAATAAACTGCAACATCTCTGCTGCTATCTGAAGCCACATCTGTGTTTATGCGGCACAACGTTGTGGGCATTTCATTACAAAGATAACAAGGCTGCAATATATTTGGTGGAGAAGTGTTCTTGTTATTTTTATAACCAACAGCATCAACAAAGCAACAGCGATGCAAACAGCAGCATCTCCGCGGTATCATCTCCGACTCTGCTCTTCAGACCTTTGATCTTCTTGTCGAGCTGCTCCACGCGGTCACAAACGGTCTTGGTGAGGCCTTCCACGATGTCGCTCATCACGCTGAAGTCTGCCACGTTGTAGACGTGAGTTTGCTCTGGAGGTGAGGCAATCGCCTTCAGCTCATTCTCATCAGCATTTTTCACACCTGGAGCGAGAGGAGAGAGAAACCCGAGTGATCCGACTGTCAGCGACGGTGACATGAAAGGTGTTGGAAATAAGTTTTCCATGACGCAACCAGAACATGAATATATACACAGGACTTCATCTACGACAGCAAAACTATTCGCCAGGCTCTGACATGCGCTCTCTGCAACAGGGTTTTTATTCCACCTCTAAACTTTCCC